CAAAAAAAAAAAAAAAAAAAAAGTACTGCAAACAAAAATCTTGGTTTTGTTTTTGTTTTTGTTTTTTTGGTTTTTTTGAGTAGGAGTCTCATTCTGTCGCCCAGGCTGTAGTGCAGTTACACCCTCACGGCCACTGCAGCCTCAACCTGCTGGGCTCAGGCTATCCTTCTGCCTCAGTCTTCCAAGTAACTGAAACCACAGGCACATACTACCACACCCGGCTAATTTTTTTATTTATTGTAGAGATGAGGTCTCACCAAGTTGCCCTGGTTGGACTCAGGCAGTCTCCCAATGTACTGGGTTTACAAGGGTGAGCCACCACACTTGGCCACAAAAATCTTCTTAAGGTCAGTGTTAGGCCATACAGGAGGAATATACCTAGGCACGTATCTCCTGTGTGCTCTATAGCAGTAAGCACCTGCCATTAAAACTTGCCTTCAGCCTCACTAATTGCTTCATTCTTTTGCCTTCTTGGGATGGTTTTTTTCCTCAGCCTTCAGGCAGCCAAATCCCCTAACCTTTCTGTCCTCTCATATTTTCTTCCCTTGGCCGCTTCTCTGACCCCCCTTTCATAAGCAGGAAGGACAGTGTGAGTAATCAAAACAAACAGATGTATGCTGTGAAAGAGCTTATGATTTCATTGTTGGAGAAAACCATCATACAAGAAATGTAACCTACAACCATGACTTGGAAGAAGAGGTATAAGGTGTTATGAGGGCATAAGATGAGGAGGTTAAAGAAGACTTCCTCACCAAGTACTGTTTGAACTGAAGGATAAGTAGGAATTAGTCTAACAAAAAGAGGGATTGGAGGCCTCTGCTGACACAGGGTGTGTTTGGAGCATGAGGTGTGTTTGGAGCATGAACGGTGAGTATGAGAGATTGGCAAGGTTTCAGGAGGCTGGAGTGGAGAAACTGAAGGGGAACATTGTGTGAGATGAAGCTGCAGAGGCAGAGGGCTCTGACCGTGATTGACCTTGCTGACCACAGTTAGGAGTTTTGCCTTTATTCCAAGTGGAAAGCCAAGGGAAAGTTTGTTTCTGACATATTCACTATTGTTTTAGATGGTGTATATTGTTCACTCTTAACAACCATCATCACCAAGTGTGTCTAGAATGCTTCTAACTGTAAAGACAACACATACACACCGGTTTCTGACCTCAAAACAATGATGCCACATTGTAAGTTCCTAATAGAGTAAAACTGAAATGATTCTTAACCCAGACTGTGAAATGTCTTAAGAATCCCAAAGTACAACCAAGTTTCTATGTTCCTGAATGACATTAGCAGTGCCTTTAATCACTATTTTTTACAGTTGATAAGCCACATTGGGTGCCATTGAATTTAGAGATACTGTAGTTATTAGATTATCTGTTACAATGCAGACAAATTAAGCAATAAGTATGTTTGTTTTTTTATGTCGGAGTCTCACTCTGTCGCTCAGACTGGAGTGTAGTGGCACACTTACTACCAC